CGCAACGCCTCAGCGAGGTCCGGGATCCCAGAGAGACTAGATATGCTGGAGATCATCTGGTTCTATGTTATAGTTGCCTAGAATCTCTCAAAGCCGAAAATGAAAACTGTGGTTCTTTGTCATGGTTTGCTTTGCATTCTGTACCCGGTCCGACGCCAGTGCCTCTGACTGAGGGAGTGAACGTGGTTCTGCGGAAGATAGTCACAACGCCTCAGGGAGGGCGGGGATTCTCAACGAGCATACAAAAGCTTTAGATCTTTGATCTTCGGAAATGTCGTATAGGTTGTTGTTTAGATCTTTGATCTTGTGAAAGTTTCTGTTGACAATAGTGATGGGAAGTCCTGAGTAACTGTTGTATACTTTGTTTTCCACGTTGGTCGAGGTCCGATGCAATTGCCTTTCAGGGAATGGACGTTATTCTGCGGAATTTCTTTGGGGGGTGGACGCAACGCCTCAGCGAGGTCCGGGATCCCAGAGAGACTAGATAAGCTGGAGATCAGTGACAGCGTGAAGAAAGTATCTTTTTGCTATAGTGTTGTGGAGTGCTCTGGTTTCGTGTCGCGTGTTGCTGTGCAGTCTGGAGCATTTCCGACGCAACGGTCGCTCAGGGATGGGAAGTCATTCTGTGGAACTTCATTGTGCGGGTGGACATAAGGCCTCAGCGAGGCATGGAAGCCAAAAGGAATAATTCAGCTTTAGATCTTTGATATTCAGCTTTAGATCTTTGACATTCGTACCGGGGAGTGCTTTGTTTATTTTGTTTGTTGAGCCAGGTCCGATGCAATTACCTCTCAGGGAATAGACGTCTTTCTGCGGAATTTCTCGGAGGGGCGGACGCAACGTCTCAGCGAGGCACGGGATCCCGAAGACGACGCACAAGCTTCAGATCTATAATATCATGAAAACTTCTTTTCGCAGTAGTCCTGGGGAGTCTTCTGCTGCTCTGTTATGGTTTTGGCATGTTGGACAAGGTTTATGGGGAGTGGATGCAACGTCTCAGCTCGGTCCGGGATCCCAAAAAGAAGAAATATATATCGCTCGCAAGATCGACCAGAAGGAATCTCGTTCTTTGTCACACGCCTCTCAGTCTTCAGTCGAGGTGGGACACAAGTACCTCTCGAAGAATGGACGTGGTTCTGCGCAAGTGCTTTGGGGGGTGAACGCCGTGCTACCGAGTTCACAGGGACGTGAGAGAGGTTCAAAGCTTGCTCGGCGAAAGGTCAGCAGCGCATGCGTTGTTCACTTGTTTCTTTCTTGGACATCCGAAGAACACTGTGTGATTTTCACAACAGAAGACGTAGCCTGCAGTCACGCATGACGGTTCAAGCTGATCCTCTGGCCTAGCCACGCGACCGTTGCAGGCGCTGTTCAGTTGTTTCTTACTTGCACATCAGAAGAACGCTGTGTGATATTCATAACAGAAGACATAGCCTGGAGTCATGCATGATGGTTCAAGCTAACCCTCTGGCCTAGCCACGCGACCGTCGCAAGAGCGACATAGGTCTCGCGCAGGCTCGGATATGTTTTCGATGCTTCGATCTTTGCTGTGGAATTGATGAAGCTACACCTCGAACATAGTTCTTTGATTTTCTCTTAGTCTCGCATTGCGATGCGCAATGTCGGCGCCCTGAAGTAGGTCTGGGACAAACTCAACAACACGTGCCTGTGACAACAGGCAGTGGAAGCCAGCTTGCTGGCTGCCATTGTCAGATGGAAAGCCAGCACGCTGGCTACCATCATAGTTGAGGTGGGTAAGCCAGCACGCTGGCTGCCATTGTTGAGATGGCAAAGCCAGCACGCTGGCTGCCATCATAGTTGAAGTGGGTAAGCCAGCACGCTGGCTGCCATTGTTGAGATGGCAAAGCCAGCACGCTGGCTGCCATCATAGTTGAAGTGGGTAAGCCAGCACGCTGGCTGCCATTGTCCCCTTACCAGCAGCCCAAATGCTCACGACGATGAGCTGGGCTGTCACCGCTTGGCCGCCGGTGGGGGGTTTGGGAGGCCTTGGCATTGTGGACGACCACTTCTTCAGCGTCAACCAGGATGACCAGAGGCAGATGATTCACACGTTATTGTTCAGTCTGCAGTGCGGCATGTGGTGATGCAATTGTTGAGATGGCAAAGCCAGCACGCTGGCTAGCATCATAGTTGAAGTGGGTAAGCCAGCGTGCTGGCTTTGCCATTGTCTGCCATCATAGTTGCAGTGGGTATGAGCCAGCACGCTGGCTACCATCCTCATTGAAGTGGGTAAGCCAGCACGCTGGCTGCCATCATAGTTGAAGTGGGTAAGCCAGCACGCTGGCTGCCATTGTCCAGATGGCAAAGCCAGCACGCTGGCTGCCATCATAGTTGAAGTGGGTAAGCCAGCACGCTGGCTGCCATTGTCCCCTTACCAGCAGCCCAAATGCTCACGACGATGAGCTGGGCTGTCACCGCTTGGCCGCCGGTGGGGGGTTTGGGAGGCCGCATCGCACACAAACACCCACACACTCCCTCAACTTCCACGAACACACACATACGCAGACTCGTTTCCACACGGACATAGACACACGCACAGAAACCCACACACTACCTCAACTCACTCGACTTAACACTTCTCACTACACACTTACCGGATAACTCGCACTCTGATTTCCTACGTGATGAAAAATGCTTTCGGGCCACTCGTCGTCTAGTGGTTTGATTTGGCGAGGTAATTACAATGTTTTGGTCCTCAGGAAGCTAAGGCAGACAGGATCTCTCTGGTGTGAATGGGTGAGAACTGAAGGATGGATCATCTAAGAGGACAGCAGAGCTGAAGGACTGAAGGGTCGTGCTTCGACCATAGCACCTCTCAGGCTTACATCGCTGCTGAGGACTTACTCATAAGGATGTGTTTGAGCTTGCTATTAAGTTTGTCTTCAAGTCTTGGCCTTAGAACTGCATTGGGCAGTTCTAAGTGCAGGTGGCAGTCTGGGTGCTTGGAGTGTGACCCCACAAGTGCTTCAGATAACACCTGCACAAGAGGGCAGCTCAGGCCAAAAGCAGGCTTTCCTCAGTCAAGGCCTATGGATTGTGACATCCTGTGCTGGTTGTGTTGTTCTTGGTGTTTTGTTATGTTGCTTGCTGCTTGTTTGGGAAGGGAAATGGGGGATGCAGGTGGACAGCAGTCAGAAGGATTTTAGAGCCGTAAATATGTGCCTTACAGAAAATCAGGACACCAAAATAGAAGTTAGAATTACTTTACTTCGAGTGATCCCCATCATGATATGTCAATCTGAGAAAATTTATGGCATGAAGCATTATTTTGGCATTCTTTCTGGCATATCTTCTGACATTCTTTCTGGCATTCTTTCTGGCATATTTTTTGACATTCATTCTGATATTCTATTTTGGCATATCTTCTGACTGGTCGGGCGGGGAACACTGCCAGCCGGAGCTCACGGTTGAGGTCCGGCGGGGAACACTGCCAGCCGAAGCTCGCAGTTGAGGCGGGGAACACTGCCAGCCGAAGCCTGCGGTTGAGGTCCGGCGGGGAACACTGCCAACCGAAGCTCGCAGTTGAAGTGGGGAACACTGCCAGCCGAAGCTTGCGGTTGAGGTCCGGCGGCGCACACTGCCATCCGGAGCTGGCGGTTGAGGTCCGGTGGGGAACACTGCCATCCGACGCTGGCGGTTGAGGAGGCGAGGAGGAGAGGAGAGGA